CCAGAAATGATCTCGCATGCCTGGACGATCCAGATTTGTTTTCCCCTTAGTTGCAATCAGACGGTCGAGATCAAACACGATGAACGGTTCAGATTCATTTTCTCCTTAGGCGCGCTCAAACGATCGAGATTAAACGCGATGAATGATCCAGATTAATGCGAGATTAGTACAAATATTTCACATCACACCGAACTCCAAACCCTAGCCGCTAGCCTTCCGGCGGAGAAGAAGAACCAGTCACTAGAGAAGGGAGCCGATTGCCGACCGTCACCGCACCGAAGCCACCTTCGCCCGTCAAAAAAGGTAAAAAATTCTCCCACCCGCTCAGAATTTGATCCCGAGCACCCACGTGGCCATATCAAAGCAAAATTAACGGCGAGTAAGCCGAAAACTGCGAAAAAGGTCCGATAGAGCTGCCACAGAAAAACCTGCAACCTCCTCTGATGAGTCCCTTTCCATTTTCTATTTCGTACAATTTTTATACCGTTGTGTTCACCTTCTATTTTTTACAGGTTGACCGAAGACAAAAGCCCAGCCACAAAGGTGAGCTGGCGAAGCCGTCGCACCTAGAAAACTCAACCACCTGCAAGTTTTCGTTTTCTGATTTTTTTCCGGCCAACCTAGTCCCCCTAACGTATTTTTTTGCATGAATATGTATAAAGGCAACTGAAACTGGCCAAAACTTGCCAAAAATGGCCAGGTCGAGGTAATTCGTCAAAGCGGGCGACGGTGCCATCACTGGAGCACGGCGATGCCGCCATGCCGGAACCCTGAAGTTGGCCGAAAAATATTTTAACACCGATTTTGGGTTTTGGGGGGGTTTTTTTATGCACATGAAGCGTGTTTTAATTTTCGCAGAAAAATTTAAAAAACTCGGAGACCGTCAGTAGGTGCAGTAGAAAGTTCGGTGTTTCGAACACTGATTCGAGTAAGGATCCCTCACTCTATTCTCTGTTACAGTTAATTGAGGAATTTTTGATATTAACTGCATCTGATAGGAAAAATTAAAGGATCCTTTAATAATAATCTAACTCCTGTC